TGATGGCAGCGTGCAGGTGGACAGAGGGACCGAGGCCGCAGAGTCCTGTAGTGACCACTCGGGGTCCCTGAGGCTCAGCACCGCCACCAGCTGTGTCAACTCCGATTCACAAGGGACCCCACGTGGGTCAGAGTAGAACTGGGCTCCACAGGGTTTTCAGTGGCTAACGTTTCAGATATAGATCTCCAGGCCTTTGTTCTGAGGTGCCTCTGGGTGGACTGGACCCCCAACCTTCCGGTTAGCAACTGAGCCCGTTTCCCATTTGCACCACCAGGGAGTCAGGCAATGTCCGCCCAAGCCCAGCTGTGGAGCCCCCGCCCCTGGAGAGAGGAGCCCAACCCGCCGCTGGGACCACCTGAGCACCTTTGTCTCCCAGCCCCCTGATGTGGCCTGCCACCCACCACCTGTGCGTCCTGGTGATGATGTGGTGGTGGTCACCCACCTCCTCTGTCCTGTGCCTCCCAGCACCCGGCCCCAGGGTCCTCAGTCAGTGGGGGTGGGGGTGAGGGTGGGGGCGGAGCTGAGGAGGGGGCGCCGCGACAGGGCGCCTTCACCTCCACTGCCCACCTGGTCTCACCACCACCCTGGAGGGCTGTGGCGGGTCATTCGTTCATTCATTCATTCATTCGTGCATTTTGCAAACATGTGACCGGGGCCGCCTCCACACCAGACCCGGGGGCAGCGGCCGCGGAGGGGTGGTGAGGGAAGGTTCTGCGGCCGCGGAGGGGTGGCGAGGGAAGGTTCTGCGGCCGCGGAGGGGTGGCGAGGGAAGGTTCTGCGGCCGCGGAGGGGTGGCGAGGGAAGGTTCTGCGGACCGGGAGGCCCACGTGTGCAGGTAGAAAGTCGAGGCTCAGAGCGGCCGATGCCCGAGGTCCCGCAGTGGTCAGGGCTGTGGCACCGTGCCTGCGGGGGAGGGCCGGGCAGACCCTTGTAGGGCCTGGGCGGCGGCCTGGCTCGGATGCTCGTCCGCGCGGGAGGGGCTCGCCGACACCCGTTTACGGTCACAGGACGCACAGGCGCCGGCAGGCAGCTGCCTCAGCAGCCGGCGGTGCATCCGAGCCGGAGGATTGCACAACCGCCCGGCAGCTGGCGCGCTCCGGGGAAGGTTGTTTTTCACCGAGCACAGCTGGGGAGCAGCCAGGGGGACCAGCTGCCTGGCTCCGAGCCGTCAGAGCTGGGCAGCTGCGGGAGAGAGGGGCCTTGAACCTCAGGGAGCCCGCGCCCAGTGCTGCAGGGCTGGCCCGGGGCGGGCGCACCAGTGATCCCAGCGTCAGCTGAGGGCCATCTGAGAGCCGGCCGGCCCTCCGCTGGGAGGAGGCAACCCTAGGCCTCCCGATGCGGACGGAGAGCTGAAGACCCAGCCCAGGCCAGCGGAGGCCACAGCCCGGAGCTCAGGGACCCCAGTGCCCACTCCCCATTTCAGATTGGTAGCCTGAGGCCACAGGGGCTGGGGAAAGGAGTGGGAAGTGTGAGGTGTACTGACCAGAGGTTAGGTACCCCAGTGAGGAGCAGCAAAGCAGGCACTCTCTCCCGCTTTAGAGGAGTTTGGGGCTCATCCTGCTCCCCATTCTTCCTGCACCTGCATTCCCCACCATGCTCGTTCTCTTCCCACAAAACTGCGCCCTTGCTGGGTTCTGGGGGCACTGAAGAAGGGGCAATGCTGGGGGGCTGCTGCCACTGAGGACTCCATAGAGGGCCTCTCCTACCCTGGGTCCAGTTCTCAGGGAAGAAGTTTCTGGAGCTGAGTGTCGTATTTGGGGTTGCCGTAAATAAATGAATCAATCAGCACGTACTGGGCCTCTGCTACGAGGGGCTGGGGGCTGGCATGAGCCCCCCTCTGCAGCAGAGAGTGTGGGTGCCCCCAACATCACTCCCAGGTCTCCGGCAGCTGCCGGGCCCCTCTGCTCTTTGGTCTGAGGTCCTCTTCAGCAGTGAGGACCCCACTCCACCGAGCACGGGGCAGCCGGAGTGCAAGGAGTTAACATCTGCTGGGGGGGGCCCTCAAGGGAGGGTGGGAGTCTGTGGACACCAACTGGCTTCTCTTCCCCCTTCCTCAGTCTCCCCGCTCCCTCACTCTGCTGCTTGGGGTCACCTCCCACATACAGTGCCTGCCCCCGCCCCTGACCCAGGGCCTCCTTCCAGGTGAACCCATATCCTTAAGGACTTGTTATGATCCCATTTCACAGACCGGGGCGCTGAGGCTCAGAGGCGGTGACTGAGGTCCCAACACGCAGCAGAGGCGGTGCGCACTGGGCTTCCGGACCTCACAGCCTCTGCTTCTCTCTGCAGTGGTGGGCGTGGCTGAAGGGGGTCTTGGGTCTCGGAGAGGCCTCGAATGCCAAGGCGAGCGTGCACGTGGTCCAGGTGGACCAGAGCGCAGCCGCCCATGTAGCGGTGTCTGCGGCCATCCAGGGATGGGAAGACGGAGCCGAGGGGGTCACGGTCTGCCAGGGGGTGGGCGCGAGGGAGGAGAGGTGCGCTTCTGCAGTTGCATGTGAGCAGGCAGTCCTCAGAACTGATTCTGGAACGTTCTACAGTGACCATGACCTTCCCGGAGCGTGAGCTGTTGCTTCCCCAGACGCCGTTCTCCTCAGCCCCGCCCCGCCCCACTAGGACCCTCTCCTCCCCCTCCGCGCCCCTCCGCCGTGCCCCTCCCTTCCCCCCCGCCGTGCTCGTCCTCCCCCTCCCACTGCGCTCCTCTGTGCTCTCCCTGGTCAAGTTGACGGCTGTCAGGGCCCGCGCACCCGTGGCCCTGGACGTCTGCCCCCAACACCCCGCAGGCTCCTGACTCTTGGCTGAGGCCCGTGTGGCCACAGCGCTGGGGAGGTGGGGAGGCTCCAGGATGGAGGAACCAGGTGACCACAGCCGTGGCCGCCCTGTGTGTGTAAGCCAAGGGCCCTGTGCCGGCGGGTGAGCGGGGCCTGGAAGGGGGCAGACTTAGGACTGTTCTACATGGTCAACGGGAACCAGGCTCAGGGTGTTGACAGACGGGTGGGGGCAAAGGGGAGGTCGGGACGGACAGCACCTGCTGGGGTGGGCCCCACCTCCACTCTCGGGGTGGGCAGAGATGAAGGAGGGGGGGACCATCCCCATGTGTGGCTGACCCAGCTCTGGGGCCGTCTGGCCGGGTGTGCTGTGAGCACGAGGGGCGGATGGGAGGGTGGATCTGACAGGCAGGGAAGTGTGGGCTGGGTGGGCTGGAGGAGGTGTGGGCCGGGGTGACCACAGGCTGGGAGTGGGCCAGCCCTCCCTCCACAGGGGCTGCCGGCCTGATTTCGGAGCCCAGTGGCCCCAAGATGAAGGATGGGGATTCAGCACCCTCATCAATCAGCGGCCAGCGACGGCTTCCTGTCCTTTCCTGGGTGTGGGTCCCAAGGGCTCACCCGCCCCTCTAGCTGCCCAGTGCACACGGCACAGCCACACAGCCTCGTGGTACCGACAGGCCGTCTCCAGGGCCCCGAGAGCCCCGTCTTGGGGATTCCGTCTGCTGCCATCTGAGGTCAGCCCCATGGCGGGCCCTTTAGAGGTCCAGGCTTGTCCCTCCTGGGCCCTGGAGCGTGGAGGGGCTGGGAGCTTAGCCACTGTCCAGCCCCTCCTGGAGGGAGCAGGAAGCCAGGGCCACACAGCTGCCCAACGCCCCGGGTCCTCCCAGCTTGGTGGCTTGGAGCCCAGGCAGTCGGCAGCCCTGAGTTTCCTCCTTCTCTGCCTGTCCCTGAACAACTTGCTTTAATCGCTTCCTGCCTCAGTTTCCCCACTGCTGGGAGGGTTGCCTGAGGATGAAACAGGACAGATGGGGGACAAGCTCTATCACAAGGCCTGGCACACAGGCTAAGAGGACTCACCACAGCCAGGCCCTGAGTTAACCCATCAACGTCCGTGACAACCAGAGGTCCCAGTGTCAGCGCACCTCTTGTGCAGATGGGGAACCACGGCGGTGGGGGAGGCATGGAAGGGGGGGCTGGGGTCCAAGCCCAGGCGGCCTGCTCAGCCCACACGCCCGACAGCTGTTGTTCTCGCCAGGGGGTGCTGTGTTAAAGGCCACTTTGCAGGATTCACTTGTGGGCCTAGAAACGTGTTGGGTGTGGTTCCCCGGGAAACATGCCAGCCAGCGGGGGCTCAGACTCTTTGCTCGTCAACTTTAATTTCCGTACAGTAGAGAAACATACAGTACAAGCAACACGTGACTGGATTTTACAGCGAAGCTCACAATATACCTCGAAACAGGTGTCCCCAGCGAGACAGAAGGCGCCGTAGAAGCGGTTGCTGCACCCCAGCATGGTGTGGGGGTGAAGCCGGCTCAGTTCTTGCACGGTGCCCCCTCCCGCAGGTCCTGCTTCCTCTGCCTCAGCCCCCAGCCTGCCTCTGGGACGATGCACTCCCAGGTGTGAAGGAAACATGGAGGGTCAAGCTCGTCGCCACCCACAGGGCGCCGGCAGCCTGGCCAGGCCCCACCTGCTAAGAGGCAGCCAGAGGTGTCCCGCCCTCTGGGGCTCCGGGCTGTGAAGCAGACAGCCCCGGTCATAGTACTTGGAGGGCATGGAGGTGGAGGGACGCTGGAGCCCTGGAGCCCAGGAAAGCCTTCCTGGGTGAGGAGACTTGGGCGTGAGACCTGAAGGCAAGGTAGGGGAGAGTGTGCAAGGGGAGGATGGGGGCAGGAGGAACAGGTGGGCATTTCAGAGGGAAGTACCAACAGGTGCGGAGACAAGGGGGAGGAGGAGAGCTGGGCCTCTTGGGGAACTATAGAAGTCATTTCTGGACACCCAAGACCTCGGAAGGCCGCCCCAGAGGCGCTGTGCGGCCCTCTCAGGCACTGGGACCGGGAGCCAGCACCCCAAGGCTGACATCAGAGCCTCCAGCCGGCCTCTGGCCCTCCAGGGGGCGGGCTGTGGCTCTGCTGAGGACTGATCCCAGTCCTTCGTCCGGTCGGCACACCTTGGGCTCATAGGCCTCACACCCTGGTCTGTCGAAGGCCCGGGCTGGGCAGTGGGGCGGCGCCCAGCTCACAGGACCACCTCGGGCGCAATGCTGAAAAGCAGGTCGTCATTGCCCCGCCGCACCTCCAGCAGGAGCGGTGACTCCGTCAGCACAGCCTCCTGCAGCTCGCTGGAGTCCGCCAGGGGGCGCCCGTTGACTTTGACGATGAGGTCGCCATCTTGGATGCCACCTCTGCCAACAAGAGAAACACTCTGTCACCACACACGCACCAGCTGGGCCAGGGCCCCGCGTCTGGGCCTCAGGAGAGCTCATTTCCACAGTTTGACAAAAAACAAAAAAATCAACCAGAAAGAACTGCGCCGTGACTGCAGATCTTAAACCAAAACGCCAAACCAGTTGCCATCGAGGCGACCCTGGCTCATGGCGTCCCCGTGTGTCAGAGTAAAACTGTGCTCCACAGGGTTTTCAATGGCTGAGTTTTCAGAAGTAGATCGCCAGGCCTTTCTTCTGAGGCACCTCTGGGTGGACTTAAACGTCCAGCCTTTTGGTTAGTAGTGGAGTGCTTAACCATTTGCACCACCCTATCTGACCTGATCGCCGTTGAGTCGATTCCGACTCATAGCGACCCTATAGGACAGAGTAGAACTGCCCCATAAGGTTTCCAAGGAGCAGCTGGTGGATTCAAACTGCTGATATTTTGGTTAGCAGCCGAGCTCTTAACCACTGCGCCACCAGGGCTCCATTTGCGCCACCCGGGACTCTGCAAAGATCTGAAGAAAACCAGTGTCATACGGAGGCCGCCCATTTTTCCAAAGGACTTCTTCCAGGCATCAGAAGGGCTGCGTTCAAGTTCTGCCTGCTGCTTTCCTAGAGGGGCTGCTTCGGGCCAGTTACTCTGCCCTTGGAGCCTCAGTTTCCCCATCTGCAGCCCCGTGTAGGACAGCACATGGCAGAGACTGGTGTTAATGCTGCTGCAGTGACTAAGCGTTCCGGCAGGAGGAGGCAGAGCTGTTGCACCAGCCTCTCCATGACCGTCCCTCCCTGGACTTTCTCACCCAGAAGGAAGGCAGGAGGGCGGAGTGGTAAGTGTGTGGGCACCCGGTCAGGCCGATGGGGCTCTAAGCCTGGCTCCATGCATGCCCACTGTGTGGCCGTGGAGAAGTAGCTTCTCTAAGCCACAGGCTCCTTCTCTGTGAAATAAGCTGAGAGCAGCCAGCGGCCCTGCCTGGGTCGCAGCAAGGAGGAACTGAGATGCTGCGTGCGGGAGGCTGGCTGCCTCCTGCTCTTGCCAGCTGGGCTGGCCCGGGGAGGTGCCTGCACAGGGCCAGGGGCTTCGTGTATCCACCTCTCAACCATCCTTACCAAAGGCGGCTGTGTGCGGGCTTGGGTGCTATCTGCGTTCACCCCTGAAGGCCACAGTCCCAGCTGAGGGGCCCTCTTCTGGACTGAATTGTGTCCCCCCCAAAATATGTGTTGGAATCCCAACCCCTATACCGGTGGATGTGACCCTGTTTGGAAACAAGGGTTTCTTTGTTACGTTAATGAGGTCACACTAGAGGAGGGTGAGTCCTAAACCCCATCCCCTCTGAGTTAGGAAAGAACCAGAATAAACAGAGACGCGGTGGGGGGGGGGGCAGACGCCACGTGACAGCCAAGGAACCAAAGAACGCCCAGGTTACCGACAAGGAAGGAATCGACGTGGCCGAGACCTTGATTTGGACTTCCAGCCTCCAGACCCGCGAGAAAACAAATCTCTAATCTTAAAGAACCCCTTGTGGGATTCATGTTACAGCAGCATTAGGAGACAGACAGACCGTGTCTCCAAATAACCCCTGTGGGACAGAATAGAATATAAAACGGAAACAGGTCCGTCGTGTCGATGGGACCATGTGGGGCTGCAGTCCTGTGGCTGGCTCCTCTCCACCCCAAACCCTAGACCCCTAGGCCCCTCTGTGGATCACCCCAGCTTCTGGAAGTACAGTTTAAAACCTCTGATCTGATCTGTCATGGATTGAACTGTGTCCCCACGACATATCTGTCAGCTTGGCTGGGTCACGATTCCCAGTATTGTATGATTGTGTGTCATTCTTTCATCTGATGTGATTTCCCTATGTGTTGTAAACTCTATCACTATGATGTAGTAAGATGGATTAGTGGTAGTTATACTGATGAGGTCTACAAGATTAGGTAGTGTCTTAAACCAATCTCTTCTGAGATATAAAAGAGAGAACCGAGCAGAGACACAGAGGAACCTCACACCACCAAGCGGGCAGTGCCAGGAGCACAGCGTGTCCTTTGGACCTGAGGTTCCTGCGCTGAGATGCTGCCAGACCAAGGGAAGACTGATGCATCACGAGGACCTTCCTCCAGAGCCGACAGAGAGAGAAAGCCTTCCCCCGGAGCTGACGCCCTGAATTTGGACTTGTAGCCTATTGGACTGTGAGAGAATAAACTTCTCTTTGTTAAAGCCACCCACTCGTGGTATTTCTGTTAGAGCAGCACTAGATGACTAAGACATGATCCAACCCATCCGTTGTATAGATGGGGAGACTAAGGCCAAAGTCCAGAAAACCAGCTGCTGTCAAGTTGACCCTGACTCCTGGCAACCTCACGTGTTCCATAGGGTTTTCAATGGCTGATTTTTCAGAAGTAGATTGCTAGGCCCTTCTTCCGACATGCCTCTAGGTGGACTCAAACCTCCAACCTTTTGGTTAGCAGCCAAGCACGTTAGCAGCTGAGCGCATGAACCATTTGCATCACCCAGGGACTCCGAGGCCAAAGCAAGGGGAGAGATTTTTTCAGTCCTTCTCAGGGAATACATCAACCACATGGTTATATTATAACTTCACCACACTGCATGCCTTAACTTACGATGTTGCAGACTATAATGTTTCTCTAGCACTTGGCAGGACTTTGAAAGACAACAATGCTTTATCTCATTTGATCTCGACACCGTCTCCCTGGGTAGAAAGAGTAGGCTGGATCATCCCCACTTTACAGATGAGGAGACTGAGGCCCAGCAAGACCCAGCCAGCCACAGGGTGGGGGAGAGACAAGGGAGATGTTGGCTTAGGTGGGTATGTTTAGCCTCCACTCCTCTATCTCCCCAGACCCAAAGGAAAGGACATTCTGAAGCCTCCTCCAACTTCCACCTGCCCCATTACGTCACCTTGCCAGGAAGCTCAAGGTCAACCACGGACACAGCAGTAAGCATACAAGGTCAGTGCAGCAGGCCCAAGCCCCAGGCCCCATGCTACTCCCCTCCCCGAGTGTCTGCCCCCTCCCATCCAGCCTCTCCGCTGCCCCCGGGCGGAGCCTACCTCTGAGAAGGTGAGTTTGGAACAACCTCTTGCACGTAAATCCCACTGCTGACCTCTGGGAAGTCTGGGTTACTGGCCTTCAGTTCTTCCACCAAGCTGAAAGATAGTTCACCTGTTAGAGAACGTCCTCTGAGCCCCAGAACCGGCTGTGGCATAAAGCTGCCCCCTTCCCTCTACCGCCCAGGCCAGACAAGGAGCTCTCTGTGGGTGCCCACTGTCCTGTCCTGACACTGATCACACGGGGCTGTCGCTGTATGTTATCTGTTTGCCCACTAGACAAGAGCTCCTTGAGAAAAAACAGAGGGAAAGTTGGTACAGTGGAAGGCAGACCATGGGCCTGAGGACTGGCCTGTGTCTTCTTCAGGAAATCTTCCCAGAGTGCCTCCTCCTCTACCCCAGCAAAAGCAGGGTGGGGAGGCTGGTGCTTCCCCTGGTTCTCTCAGCCCTGTCACACTGGGGATGACATGCAATCATCATGGGCTGTTTGCTTGTCAGTATCCCCCACTGGACTGTGAGTCTGAAGGGTCAGTTATCATAGCTTATTCTGATCCAGAGACTGCATGGATAGAAAGATGGGTGCATAGAAAGAAAGAAGGATAGATGGATGATGAAAGGAAGAGTGGAAGGGTGGATGGACAGAGGATGAATGGGGAATGAATGGATGGGTGGTGGATGGAGAGATGGATGGATGCATGGATGGATGGTGGATGGATGAAGGGTGAATGGATGGATGGATGGTGAATGGATGGATGGAAGGTGAATGGATGGATGGGTGGATGGATGGTGAATAGATGGTTGGTGGATGGATGGATGGTGGATGGATGGAGGGTGGATGAATGGTGGGTGGATGGATGGATGGATGGTTGGATGGATGATGGATGGATGGAGGTGGACGGATGGATGGATGGGTGGGTGAATGGAAGAACACTATTATTTTTAAGGGATAAATTGGCATATTGGTCTTGCATGCAAATTGCTTTCAAATTTATTCCCTGTCAATGGATTGAATTTTTCCCCTCAAAATATCTGTCAGCTTGGCTGGGTCATGACTCCCAGTATTGTATGATTGTGTACCATTTTGTAAATCTGATGCGATTTCCTTATGTGTTGTAAACTCTATCACTATGATGTAATAGGATGGATTAGCAGCAGTTATACTGATGAGGTTTACAAGATTAGATAGTGTCTTAAGCCAATCTCTTTTGAGATATACAACAGAGAAGTGAGCAGAGACACATGGGAACTTCATATCACCAAGAAAGCAGTGCTGGGAGCAGAGCGCATCCTTTGGACCTGAGGTTCCTGCACAGAGAAGCTCCCAGACCAAGGGAAGACTGATGCATCACAAGGACCTTCCTCCAGAGCTGAGAGAGAGAGAAAGCCTTCCCCAGGAGCTGACGCCCTGAATTTGGACTTCTAGCCTACTGGACTGTGAGAGAGTAAACTTATCTTTGTTGAAGCCATCCACTCGTGGTATTTCTGCTAGAGCAGCGCTAGATGACTAAGACACTCCCTAATTAACAGTCACTGATATAGGAAGAAACAGTATTTTAGGGATTGCATGCGTTTGTGGTGCAATAGTTAAGCACCTGGCTGGTAACTGAAAGACTGGTGGTTTGAACCCACTAGCCTCTTCACGGAGGATGACCTATTGACCTGCTCCTGTAAAGATTTCAGCCTAGGAAACCCTATGGGGAAGTTCTACTCTGTCACATGGGGTCACTAGGAGTTGGAATTGACTCAGTGGCACACCACAACAAGATGAGTTTGAGGGTTTCCTCAACTGAATGTGCCTTCGTACTTCCCTGAGCTCTGTACTGCAATGACTCTGCCTTCTTCAAACCCTGAGACGTGACTGCATTCCCCTCCCTCTCTCCCTCCTCCTCCCCACCCCTTCTTTTTTCACTCCTTCGGTATTTCTAGGGTGCCCACTCTGCGGCATACCTGGTCGGGGCAGAGCAGAGGGACAAGCGGATGCAGTCCTCACTGCCAAGGAGCTCAGGGTCAGGTGGGGAGGCAGGCCCACAACCAGGAGCCCCCACCACGGGGCCAGAGCTACTGAGCAAAGAGGGGGCCCCACCTCCCTCCTGGGTGGCCTGGGAGGTGCAGTGGGCTGAATAACCCCATTGCCATCAAGTCCATTCTGACTCATAGCAACCCTATAGGACAGAGTACAACTGCCCCATGGGGTTTCCAAGGAGCGGCAGGTGGATTCGAACTGCCGACCTTTTGGCTAGCAGCCGAGCTCTTAATCACTGCACCACTAGGGCTCTGTGGGCTGAATAGTGTCCTCCAAATTCATGTTCACCTAGAACCTCAGAATGTGTCCTTGTTTGGAAATAAGGTCTTTCCAGATGTAGTTAGTGAAGGACTCTGAGATCCAATTATCCTGGGTTAGCGTCGGCCCTGAATCCAGTGGCTGGTGTCTTCATGAAACAGAGAGGTTTGGACACAGAGACATAGAGGGAAGGTGGCATGTGAAGACAGAGGCAGAGATTGGAGAGATGCGGCCACAAGCCCAGGAACGCCTGGAGCCACCAGAAGCTGGAAGAGGCAAGGAAGGATCTCCCCCTAGAGCCTCTGGAGGGAGCACGGCACTGCTGACACCTTTATTTCAGGCTTCTGACCCCAGACTGTGAGAGAACACATTTCTGTTGTTCTAAGGCCCCCAGTGTGTGGTGATTTGTTACAGCAGCCCCAGGACAAATCCAAGAGGCTTCCTGGAGGAGGAGGTGCCTGAGTGGAGTCCTGAGGCTATAAAGGAACACACCAGGCAGAGAAGGGGAATGGTGTCCCAGGCAAGGGCTAGACTGGCCTGAACAAAGGCTCAGGAGCAAAAGCAGGTCTGCCCTTCTGAGGGCCCACAAGCAGCCAGCAAGGCAGGCCCAGGGCCTGGGCGGAGGACAGGGTGTGGGTGGCTGGAGAGATACAGGGCTGCCCTCCAGACACTGACCTGGGTGTGATGGTCCGCATCCGTATGCCAATGAAGCGCTTCTTCCAGTCTGTAAACAAACATGGACTCCGTTAGATCAACAAGACCAGAGGGGACATAAACCCTCCTGAGACCAGCAAGAGCCTTTGTAGCTGCCTGTCCAGCCCAGAGCTGTCGGCTCCAGGGGCTGCACCCTGCACCCTCCCTGGGGCTGCAAACTTATCCCGCTGTCTATCCTGCACCCTTTTCTAGGGACAGCACTGTCTCCACCCTGCACCTTCTTTCAGGGTGAGCACTGTCTGCTCCCTCCTCCAGAGTGAGCAGTGTCTACACCCTCCTCCAGGATGACCACTGTCTGCACCCTCCTCCAGGGTGAGCACTGTCAGCTCCCCACACCCTTCTCCGAGAGTGCACATAGGCCCTTGTTCAGAGGACGGAGGCTGAATCTCATCTGTCTCCAAAAGAATGACTCAGTTTCCATCCAAGGTGGAGAAAAGGGACCCCATTTATCCTGTTGTCCAAAACAATTAAAAAGGTGGACAAAGTGTATAAAACCACAGTTCTCACGACCCTGGACATTGGGCTTCCAAGACAGAGATCCCTGAGAGACAGAAAGCCAACAAGGGGAGCCGTAAGTTTGTCCCAGCTTGCTGTCTACATTTCAGGCTGTGTCTCAGGGCGGGGAACCTGGATGGAGCCTGGGGACTCCCTGAACTGAAGAGACAGACCTGGGAGTCTGTGGAGGCCACAACAGTCAGAACTTGGAGAGAAAGCCAGGGAGGAGCGAGCTACACAGGGAACTCCAGAGACCCTCAGAGGGGCTCCTTCAGCCCCCTCAAGTATTCAGCTAAGTATTGATGCCTGTCAGAAACTACTGGATACCAGGGAAGGAATCACCCAGAAACATTAGTGGAACAATCCCTGGAGCTCACACAGGGTCAGGAACAGTGCCTGCTCCTACTGACCAGAGAGGAAAATCTCATAATTCACTGGGCACTGGGTCAAGTACTCAGAAGGGTTTTGCCTCAGTACCCATTGCTGCCCAGTCGACTCTGACTCATGGTGATCCATGTGGTACAGAGTAGAACTGAGCTCCATAGGGTTTTCTTGACTGTAACCTTTACAGAAGCAGATCACTAGGCCTGTCTTTCATGGTGCTGCTGCATGGGTTCGAACCACCAACCTTTGGTTAGTAACCAAGAGCAAATGGTTTGTGCCATCCAGGGACCTTTTGCCTAAGTAGTGGGTCAAAATTAACTCCAGACTAAGCACTATACTGGTCCCACCTAACAAAGCTTAAAAGCAAAATCTGGAAGGTTCGAATTATTTCCAGACTTAACTGTGTGCCAGAAAAAAAGCTCAAGAATGTAAAAATACCCAGCACCCAATAAAGTAAAATTCACAATGCCTAGCTAGCATCCAATAAAAAATTACCAGGCAAGTAAAAAAGCAGGAAAACATGACCCATATTGAGGAGAAAACTCAATCAATTGAAACTGACCCAGAAATAACATTTGTATATTCTGGACTATAAAACAAGTTTCAATGCATTTTTTAAAAATTTATGTTATACAAAATACGCTCTCTGGTCACAACGGAATTAAATTATAAATCAATTATAAAAAGGTATCTAGAAAATTCCCAAATGCTTGGAAGCTGAATAACACACTTCTAAGGAACCCATCTTCAAAGAACAAATGAAAAGGGAAATGAGAAACTATTTTGAACTGGATAAAAAATACAACACACACACACACACAATACAACACAGCAAAACCTGTAGGATGCAGGTAGAGCAGTCCTTTGTTAGGTTGTGCTATGTTAGGTACCATCGAGTCAGTTCCGACTCATAGCGACCCTGTGTACAACAGAACGAAACACTGCCGGATCCTGTGCCATCCTCACAATCGTTGTTATGTTTGAGCCATTGTTGCAGCCACTATGTCAATCCATCTCACTGAGGGTCTTCCTCTTTTTCACTGACCCTCTACTTTACCAAGCCTGATGTCCTTCTCCAGGGACTGGTCCTTCCTGATAACATGTCCAAGGTAGGTGAGACTTAGTCTCACCATCCGTCTTCTAAGGAGCATTCTGGCTGTTCTTCTTCCAAGATAGATTTGTTCGTTCTTCAGGCAGTCCATGGTATATTCAATATCCTTCGTGTCTTAGTCATCTAGTGCTGCTATAACAGAAATACCACAAGTGGATGGTTTTAACGAAGAGAAGTTTATTTCCTCACAGTCAAAGTAGGCTAAAAGTCCAAATTCAGGGTGTCATCTCCAGGGGAAGTCTTTCTGTCTCTGTTGGCCTTCTCATCAGTGTTCTCCAGGACCAGGAGCTTCTTGGCCCAGGGACCCTGGTCCAAAGGACGCGCTCTGCTCCCAGCACTGCTTTCTTGATGGTATGAGGTCCCCCTGTCTCACTGCTCACTTCTGTCTTTTATATCTCAAGAGATTGCCTCAGGACACAATCCAGTCTTGTAGATCAGGTCCTCCTTACTAACACAACTGCCACCCATCCTCCCTCATTAACATCGTAGAGGCAGGTTTACAACATACAGGAAAATCACACAGTACCAGGAATCATGGCCTAGCCAAATTGATACACGCATTTTTGGGGGACATAATTCAAACCATGACACTTTGCCAACACCATAATTCAAAGGCATCAATTCATGTTAGGTCTTCCTTATTCATTGTCTAGCTTTTGTATGCATATGAGATGATTGAAAACACCATGGCTTGGGTCAGGGGCATCTTAGTCTTCAAGGTGATATTTTTGCCTTAAAGGAAAATTAATAAAACTAAAATGCTTATTAGAAAAGATGAAATGTTCCAAATCAATGACCTCTCTACCTGAAACACTAGAAAAAGAAAATCAAATGAAACCCCAAGTAAGCAGGTGAAAGAAAACAATATGAGTGGAAATCAATGAAATTGGAAAGAGAAACACAAGGGAGAAAATAAATGAAACCAAAAGCTGGTTCTTTGAAATCAATAAAATTGATAAACATTTAGCCACACTGATTGGGAAAAAGGAGCCCTGGTGGTGCAGTGGTTAAGAGCTCAGCTGCTAACCAAAAGGTCAGCAGTTCAAATCCACCAGCTGCTCCTCGGAAACCCTACAGGGCAGTTCTACTCTCTCCTATAGGGTCACTATGAATCAGAATCAACTCAGTGGTAATGGGTTTAGTTTTATGGGGTTGATCAGGAAAAAAAGAGAGTTGACACAATTATTAGTATCAAGAATGAGAGCGGTGACATCACTACAGATTCTACAGACATTAAAAGGATAATAAGAGAATATTCTGAGCAACTTTATGCCAATAAATTTGACAACTTAGAAAGAACGGGCAAATTCCTTGAAATTTCCAAACTACCAAAGCTCACTCAAGAAAAAGATAGATAAAAACCACAGTCAGATGCTCCTTCACACCCACTAGGATGGCAATAATTTTAAAAAAAGATAACAAGTGTTGGTAGGATATAGGAATCCTATATAGATATATATATAATATACTGCTGGTGGGAGTGTGAAATGGTGCAGCCACTTTGAGAAACAGTCTGACAGTTCCTGAATTGATTAAACATAGAGTTACCATACTGACCAACAGTTTCACTAGTAGGTATATACTCAAGAGAAATGGAAACATGCATCCACACAAAAACTCGCACACGAATGTTCACTGCAGTGTTATTCAGAATAGCTAAAAAATGGAAACAACTGAAGTGTTCATCACCAGATGAATGAATAAACAAAATGTGGCACATCCGTACAATAGAATCGTGTTCAGCCTTAAAAAGGAATGAAGTACAAATACGTGCTACAACATGTATTGATGAACCTCAGAAACATTATGCTATATGGAAAAAGCCAGTCGCAATCGTTATATGATTCCATTCATACAAATGTCCGGAATAGGCAAGTCTATAGACATAGAGAGGAGATAAGTGGTTGCTTAGGACTGCAGTGGGGGCGGCTAAAAAGTGGGGGTGGTGATACCTAAAGGGCATGGGTTTCTTTTTTTAATAGATTTTATTTTTTAGAGCATTTTTAAGTTGATGGAAAAATTGTACAGAAAGCACAGAATTCCCCCATATCACTCTCCCCTCTGCACACTGTTTCTTCTATTACTAAAATCATGCATTCCTGTGGTCTGGGGTTTCTTTCTGAGGTGATGAAAATGTTCTAAAATTGACTGTGGTGGTTGCTGCCCATATCTGTGCATATACTAAACTCTATTGCGTTGTACGCTTTCAATGGGTGACTTGGACGGTATGTGAATTATGTCTCAATCAAGCTGTTTTTTAAAATTTTTATAGAATATATGTTGTTGTTGTTGTTAGGTGCCATCTAGTCAGTTCTGACTCATAGCGACCCCATGTACAACAACGAAACACTGCCCGGTCCTGCGCCATCCTCACAATCGTTGTTATGCTTGAGCCCGTTGTTGCAGCCACTGTGTCAATCTAACTCCTTAAGGGTCTTCCTCTTTTTTCACAGACCCTCGGCTTTACCAAGCATGATGTCCTTCTCCAGGGACTGGTCCATCCTGATAACATGTCCAAAATATGTGAGACATAGTCTTGCCATCCTTGCTTCTAAGGAGCATTCTGGCTGTACTTCTTCCAAGACAAATTTGGTTGTTCTTTTGGCAGTTCATGTTACATTCAATATTCTTTGCCAGTACCATAATTCAAAGGTGTCAATTCTTCTTTGGTCTTCCTTATACATTGTCCAGCTTTCGCATGCATGTGAGGCTACTGAAAATACCATGGCTTGGGTCAGGCCCATCTTAGTCTAAACTTAGACTAAAGAAGAAAGAGATAACCTAATCTATTAAAGGAATTGAATTTGTAATTAAAAATCTTCCCACAAAGAAAACTCCAGGCTCAGATGATCTTACTGGAGAATTCTACCAAACATATAAAGAAAAGATAACACCAATTCTACACATTCAGAAAACTGAAAATGAGTATTCCTCTACTCATTACCCTGATACCCTCACCAGACAATAAAAAGAAAACTACAGACCAATATGCCACATGAAGATGGATGCAAAAATTCTTT